GCCGACCTCTGCCTTGGGTGGGGAGGGGGAAGGAGGACTGAGGATTGTCGCTTCGAGGTTTTCGGACCAATTTGTGGGTTCCTGGAGGCTTTCTCTTGCCTCGGGATGCTCTCCAGCAGCTGCGGCTCGCCTAGAGCGTTCCAGGGGTTGCCCGAATCTTCCTGAACTGCCGCCGGAGACCTGAGTTGTGACCCGAAAGCCAGGCACGCAGGAGAAGGAGGCGGAGGCGGAGGCGGAGGATGAGAAGGAGGAGGAGGAGGAGGAGGAGGACGAGGAGGAGGAGGAGGAGGAGGCGGTGGAGCATGAAGAAGAGGGAGGGAGAGAGGGAGGAGGATGAGAAGGGGGAGGATGATGCGGGGAGGAGGAGGAGGAGGAGGAGCAGGAGGAATTGACAACAGGGCCAGAGCCAAAAGCGCGTCCACCCAGATAAGAAATGTCAACGGTAAAGTCGTGTCATCATGCTCCGCCGCCGTCGGCGTACATTTGCGCCTTACCAAGAGGATCCCTTCACAGAGGTGAAGAAGGATTCGAAGACAGAGGATGAGGAAACGAGGCATGATAGGTGGTCGGATGGGGATAGATCCGGTGAAGCACGCGTTCTCGGTTCCCGTCTGTGGAGTCATGTCTCCTGTAATGTCATCCGGCAGGAGACGCCCTGTGACTACAGCGTGCTGTGCACGACGTGCTGATGCGCGGTTGCGCTTTGGATCTTCTGCTTGGCGCGTCGCGCCGCCGGGTCTGGCCAGCCACCACTCCGGCGCAGCGTCAGGGGCCATTTGCCATTCAGCTTTCGGGGCGTGGCGTGTCGCAGGGAGGCGGTCACGTGGCGCGTCGCAGGGCGTGGTGCACGTCGCCTCCCGGGGCGGCGGCAGCAGGCGTCGATGCCGCGGGGGCGGGCGGTGCAGAGGCCGAGGCCGGGGCCCCACACACGGCCTGCGCCGCGAGGCGGCCAGAGGGGTGCGGCCAGGCAGAGCTGCAGGGCAGGCCGGCGGCGCGAGCGAGGGGAGGGGCACGGCGGTGGCGGCCTCGCGGGGGCGGAGGGGGGCCTTCTTGGAAGGCGGGGCCTTCTCGGGCCCGAGGGCTTCCACGGAGGCTCCAGAAGAGGCGGGGAGGGCCTCCGAGACGGCCCCCCTTCTTCTCAGAAGGCCGCCTCCCCCCCCCCTCGCCCCCCCCCCCTTGCGCATGTCGCCGAGCGGGGGCTGCAGAGGCCTGGGCCACGGCTTCCCAGAGCTGTGGTCTTTGTGAGTCGGGAGCTCGCGCTCCTCGGGGTGCGCCCGCTGGGGCTTCGCTGAGCCAGGTTTGCTGGACGCAGGCTCTGTGTGCCACCACGTGCTCAGGCATGCCAAACACCCGCGGGGAGCGCGAAGATGCACTCGTCCTGCGCGCGTCGCTGTCTGGGCCAGAGCGGCTGTCCTTCTTCAAGGGGTCGGTGTGAGGTCGCGGAGGTAGTCGCACATCGCGGGGCGCGATGCGCGAAGTTAAGTAATCCAGGATGTCTTCGTACAAAGCAGGGGCAGCCAGACCCTTTGCCCCAGGATGCCTTTTCTAGCCCTCGGGCCCTCCCTCTTCGAGTCAGACTCGATGGATCTCATGTCAGGGCTGTCAGCGGAACGGGCAGCGGTGACACGCGCTCACCTGGGCTGGCTGCCAGCCTGAACTGCGAAGAGCGCTCTTTACCCCTCACGGCCCCTCCCCCATCCGGTGATTGTGATTTTTGTTTGTCATCTCCCCCCCGCGAACAGCATGCTGCCCCCCCCCCCCTGACTACTCCCTCCCCCATCTGTGGCCGATACCCAGCTATGTAAGATCGGATCGCAGCGAACTGAGCCGAGGCCCGCCGCCGACGCCACGCGCGAAGAGCCCCGTGGGCTGCGCAGGGCCTGGCCTTTCGCTCGTGGGGCACGTGCCAGCGTGGGACTCCGAGACGGCCTGCCCTCTGGTCCATGCCGATTGCACCACCGCCCCTCGTAAGCAGCGCCCGAACGCCGAAAGCCGCTCACATGCAGGCATGGCGCACACTGGTCCACGCGAGCATGCCGCTGTGACCGCAGACCAATGTGATGCTGCCAGGGTCTGGCACACTGGCGGCGTGCGCAGTGCCCTGCCCGCGTCACCGTCGCAGCCGCCAGCACCGTCACCCCCCCACGCTCCCCCCCACCCCCTCACGTCGGGTGTGGCTATATAGAGGCGTCCCTGGCCCGAGGTGCCTCCAGAACTTCCAAGGAGGCCCCGACGGCCTCCAAAGCTCCCCTCACAAGGCCCAGAGGGCCCCAGGGGCTCTAACAATGTGACGGAAAGCGGGGGACACCTTTGGCCAGGGCCGCCTCTGGCATCACCCGACCAGGGCAACATGCGATACCCCCCTGGGGCAAAAAGCACGGCCTCCCGATCCCACCGCAATCTTCTGGGATCCTTTGCGAACCGAAGTCCTGCGGCTCCCGATGGACTCAACAAGTTACTCACTGGCATCCTGGTCTCGTTGCGGGACGACGAGGACGCGCCAACAAGGTCGACAATCGAAACGGTGGGAGGACGAAATGCACGACTACATCCGACAGCAGATTACGACCACGCGCACGAACGACGGTTTAAGTGACGTCATGAATGATATTACGTGGATCCACGTAGCCTCCGACACAACCAGTTGGATGAGCACGGAGACCGACTTCATCCGAACAAGACGACCAAGTCACTTGCCAACACGACGTCAACCGACACCTGCGCCGGAACCAACTCGAGCAGCTGTCTGGCTTTTGCTTTCCCCAGCACGTGTACGCATAGAGAGGTTACGACCTCCACGCTCTGGCCCAAGGAGGCAAGGACCATGTCCTGATGAGAGTGCGAATGCGAATGCGACCCCCCTGCGGCTCCCATCGACGCTGGGGTAACGGACGCCCCCGCTGGGATTTATTAGGCTGCAGACATCCTTCAAATTCTGAACCCCAGCCGGTGTTTCTGAAATCATCGAAGAAGAAACGACAACATAAACATATTTGTTCGAAGCTCTGCGCAGATTTCTTGAATCTGTGCTGGACCCCCGGCGGCGCCTCCAGTACCGCCCCGGCGCGCTCCACTCGCCAGGGAGGGGGGCCCAGCACCGATCCAAGATATCCGCGCGGAGTTGCGAAAGGTTCTGTTGATGCCGTTACTTATTCTTCGAATTCCTACAGTGGAAGGGCCACACGTTGTTGCCCAAATCGCAGCAAGCTCGCGCCTGGTCGGCGTGGAGGCGACGCCCAGCGCGGGCGCGGAACGGCCACGGCACCCGCTCGCTCAACCCTCTCCGCGCCCCCCGCCACCATGCCCCAGGACGTCCGACGACGTGGCTTTTGTTCAGACGGCAGGCCGCGATTTTCTCGACACCTTCCAGGGCCGGCTACGATCCGATTCGATGCGATTCGATTCGTCGGCTGGGGCTGCGATTCCGATCCGATTGCAGTCGGCTCGGCTCACCGGCACCGGCCAGGGCCAGCCGGAGCCAGGCGCGGCGATCCGGTTTCGATTCGGCTGCGGACGATTCGCTGGCGAATTCCGATCCGTTTCCTATTCAACCCGACCTCGCGGTTCCATGCAGCTCCTGCCTGCCTTCCCCGGAGCCATCCCCGGATCCATCCTGACCCGTTTTCCGAGGCGGAGCCAACCGTGGCGGCGAGAAGCTTCCGGGGTGGCCCAGGAGGGACGAGCGACGCCATGGAGGGCAGCCGTCTGCCTCGACTCGCTCTCCTCCGGCGAGGCCCTCGATGCGTGGCGAGGGGTCAAGATGCGTGGCGAGGGGTCCATGATCGAACATGTAACGTCACGCCATGACTGCGTCACGCCATGACAGCGCACGCGTCTGACGGTATTCACCGAATGCCGACATACGCGTGCGTTGTCATGGACGTGTGCAGTCATACATGTTCAGAGTATTGAGGGGAAGCAGCGCAAGATTTCGCCGAATAAGATTCGGTGGAGTCTTGCGTTGCCCACTGATTTTTCGTTTATCACAAACTTGCGCTTGAAAAGAAACTAGCAACTCGAATGATACATACTTGCCCGTCGGTTGTTGAAAGTAGCTCCCCCCGTATCCCAAGATTGGATTCTTGTTATTCCCCATATTCAACAGATGGAGTTCCTGTTATTCCCCATATCCAAGGGATGGGTTTCTTGTTATTCCTCATATCCACAGGATGGGGTTCTTGTTATTCCCCATATTCAAAGGATGGGGCTCTTGTTATTCCCCATATCCTAAGTATGGGATTCTTGTTATTGGCCGACCGCGCCGGAGGAACCTCCTACTCCTCCTCACCTCCTCCCTCTTCACCCCACTCACTCATCACTCAGACTCACTCATCACTCAGACCCACTCATCACTCAGACTCACTCATCACTCAGACTCACTCATCACTCGGACTCAGTCATGACTCAGACTCATCACTCATCACTCAGACTCACTCATCACTCAGACTCACTCATCACTCAGACTCACTCATCACTCAGACTCACTCGTACTTGTACTCATACATTCACTACACTCACTCAGGTCCACTCATCGGATGACTCACACACACTGATGTTGAGGATGTCTCAGGCGATTCTGTGGCTTCAGCACTCCTAAGGGGAGCGGCGGGGGGGTATTGCACTCGGCCCCTTTCGCTGGATTTTGTGGGGATGTCTCGAGCGGTTTGCTTGTTTTCTGTCCCAACATCCTTCGCTTTCGGAGCAGATTTGGAGGATGTCTCGAGCGAGGCGCTCATTTTCACGTTCCTAAGGGGAGCGGCGGGGGGGGGGTATTGCACTCGGCCCCTTTCCCGGGATTTTGTGGGGATGTCTCGAGCGGTTTGCCTGTTTTCTGTGCCAACATCCTTTGCTTTCGAAGCAGATTTGGAGGATGTCTCGAGCGAGGCGCTCATTTTCACGTTCCTAAGGGGAGCGGCGGGTGGTATTGCACTCGGCCCCTTTCGCGGGATGTTGTGGGGATGTCTCGAGCGGTTTGCTTGTTTTCTGTGCCAGCATCCTTC